CTTCTGCTTTCGTCTTTTCTGGTGGGATGAAGAGAGTGGGTGTGGAGGCTTGATTTGTTGGTTATGAGTTTCGTTGGCTGGGATGATCGTTTGAATTGTTGGCTGACGGGTCCTTGGTATACAGGAATAGCTATGCTTTCGGTATATTTTTACTTGGTTTGGTTGGCTTTCTGGAGTTTTCTGATGTTTCGTTCTTGGTTAACTTCTTTGCGCAGCGCGGTGACATATGCTTTGTCTGGATATTCTACATAGATATTAAATCATAGAATATGTTGCTTGCTTATCATCTTAAGCCCATGTCAAAGGAAATGGAATCAGAGGGCGTAAAAATTGATTTCCTCAACGTACTGTTTATTCCCTTTCCGGGATCGGCGTCGTGGTAGATATGAAAATGTTGTGTGGTTTGATTGATATTCCCCCCCCTGAATAAAAGCAGTCGGCAGCACAATCTATCATACAATGCAAACAAATAACAGGCATATGCAGAAGCAGCGGGAAAACGCAGACGACCAATTAGAGTGAGAAAAAGGCCCATCTTCAACCCATCCGGCCCCCGTACGAATCTATGTTACATGGAGAAGATACCAAGGTTTGGCGAAGAATATGAAGGTTGAGGATGCACCCAATTCCTTGCCCCAGGCGGGTCATTTCTGTCCCAAAAGCATCAATATCAATATCGTCTGTGGTATAGTAATGTGCCGCCCGGGGATTAGTGGACAGGTTGATTATTACTGAGTGGTTGGAAGAACCGTTTGATGTCGGGCGTTGCGTCGCGACTAACGGGTAGGAAGCTAGGATGGGACAGAAGCGAGGTTGGTTGCAGTTGTAGTCCTGAGAAACGGTTGGAACGAGAGGTAAAGAACATCAGCAAGGGCGGCAATCGTGGGTGTATGTCCAGGCAAGGTTCATTGTCACGGGTAGTATTGCACTGCCACGGCTTGTCCGGGATTTAATTCCATTTCCATCCCGCGTACCTTGAAGCGTGTATATATATAATTGGACAAAAATCCAAATGCAGCAGCGCAGTATACAATCCTCTCCCCCTCACACCCGCTGGCTAATCTTAATAGCCGCTCTACATCCCAAGCGCACCACATTAACCAACAAGTCATACGGCCTTGCCTCCTTCGCATCATTCTCCACCGCATGATCCAGATGCTCCAGCTCCTCATCCCGAATCCTCCTCAACGTCTGCACCAATTCCTCCAGCTCTCTCCTCCCCCCATCGGCCCCCTTCCCCTCCCCACCGACCCCTTCCCCTTGCCCCTCCAACCATCCCAAGATCTCCCTAACCTGCTCATTATAGTGGCCGCCAATTTCCGTCTCCACCGCCTCCGTGCACGCCATCGCCGCCTCCCTCCCCATCAGCCCCGTCGACCACCCCAGCACTGTTGCCGCCACTTGCCAGACGGGATACATAACCGTCGGCCTGACGCGGTGCTTGGCGCAGAGCTCGTTGAAGGTTGCGAAGTGGTTTGCTTCTTGGTCGTACATGTGTTTCATGAGGGGGCGGAGGTGGGGATTTGAGCGGGTTAACGGGGGTGTTTGGGCGGCGTAGATTAGTGTTGCGGCTAGTTCGCCGGCTTGGTTTACGCGGAGGGCACGGGAGAGGTAGGTGCGTTGGGACGGGGTGAGAGTGAAGGGGGCGCGTTTGGAGGAATTCTCTGGAGGAGCATTGAGAGGTACGGGGTCTGGGGTTGTCGAAGCGAGGCGGCGGGTTTGCTGGCTGAGTGGTAGGAGGCGTGGGATGGGATGGGTTTTGGGATATGCCGGAGTTCGAAGGGATATTCTGCAGACAGAGATGGACTGTCTGAGGGTGGGAATCGGATCCATCGGGGCCGGTGGTAATGAATGGATACAGTAGAGCGAGCTGTAGGACAATTGCTTCCTCCTTCCAGTGCGTAAGTCCCTATTCCCTGGATTCCCTTCCGCTCTGTGACCCGTGAAGAAACAATTTGTATTGTCGAAGATGATTTTGAGGTCGACAATTTCCCCTTTGGGAATCGTCAGCGAGTAGTTTAAGTCAGCGCTGAGTCAGCCGCCTCCAAACTCGCAAAACTGAACGTCACGAACGAAAGAGAACAGAACAAGAACAAGAACAACTTCTACAGAAGACGACGGTTTGGACCTAAGGGGCGACTGTCGAGGATCAAGGACGGATACCCGCATCTACTGCCATATACCACCGACCACCTCCCGACTTCATTCACCAGTGAAGACGACTGATCATTACGTACTTCAGAAAAACCCTGCCACATAAGAGACCGATTTCTCTCCAAGGGACCCGGGACCCCAGACCCTCCAGCCCGGGACTTGTGCTCTTCTACTGATTATATAACCTATCTATGACATCCTGATCTCCTCGTTCCTTCTCTCTGACAGCCATCGTCGCCAGCCATCTCTTCCTGCTCTCTTGATACCGGTTTCGCAGAATCTCAGATCTACGAAGTTCCCAGCTCCAGCCCGTGGCTTCCCTTCGTCATGTCGGATATCGACGCTGAAATTTTGGCTTTGGCGGGAGGCGACGACTCTTCGGACGAGGAAACTGCCCCGGCCCAGCCGAAGGGAGCCTCGCCGAAGAGTCACGGCTCTGGCTCCAACAGGAACAACAGCGGCAGCAGCAGCGGCAGCAGCAGCAACAACAACAACAACAGCAACAACAACAACAGCAACAACAACAACAACAGCAACAGCCACAACAACGATGGGGGAGAGTCGGAGGAGGAAAGTGGCGAAGTTTCTAGGAAGAAGACTGGCAACAGCTCCTCCTCGCGCCGAAAGCGGTCGAGAAATGTGGCAGATGATGATGATGCTGAGCTGTACGTATTGCTACTCTCTCACTTGTTCCTCTTGACACTGCACGTTTACCCTCGCTGTTTTTTACACAACACACATCTTTTTGGATAGATTTCCCTTGTCTCTTTTACTTTCTACTTCTATCTACACTTACAAGTTTACCTCTTACAACCTACAACCCATACCAAAAAGCATCCATGCTCACCAAATACCAAATACCCAGCTCCTCCTCTTCCTCCCGCTCCCGCACCTCTCTTCGCTCTGCCGCAATGTCCGAATCATCGTCCTCCGCCTCCCCACCCCCAGACCCAGACTCCCAAGGCCCGATCTTCCCATACGAAAAGCTCTTCCACTCCGCCAAGGACAAGGCTGAGGTAATGGCCCTCCCCGAAATCCAGCGCGAGCAGCTGCTCTCCGACCGCGCGCAGCAGGTCGATCGACACAACCAGGACCTGGCCCTGCGTCGCCTGCTAGCATCCCGTGAGCGCGAAGAGGCCCGTGCAGCTGAGAAAATGATGAAGAAGCGAAAAGTTGGCGCTACGGATTTGGAGGAGAAGGAGAGCCAGCGGAAGAGCTCGAGGCAGAAGATGACGCTGGGCGGTAGGAAGGTTGGGGAGACCTCTGATGCGATCGAGGCGTATAAGAAGAGGAGGGAGATGAAGGAAAAGAGGGATGAGATGCGTCGGAGGGAGGCGGGGCAGAGGAAAAGGGGGGCCAGAGATAGCTCCGGGTCGCCGGAGGATGGGCTTGTTTCGGACAATGACGATGCTGTTGCTGCTGCTGCTGCTGCTGCTGGCGGGCACAGTGAGGTTGAGTGGGATGATGGTGGTGGTGGTGAGGGTGGGGCGCGGAGGAGGTCAAGTTCGTTGCCGAAAGATGACCCCCCGGCTGAGCTGAGGGATATTCAGCGCGTGAAGGTTGGACGGAGCAATTTTGCGCAGGTGTGCTTTTATCCTGGGTTTGATCAGGCCATTGCGGATTGTTTTGTTAGGGTCGTTGTTGGGGTGAAGAAGGATGGGGAGAATGAGTATCGGGTTTGTTCGATTAAGAGTATGTACTTTCTTTTTCTTTTCCTTTTTCTTTTTCTTTCTTTTCTTTTCCTTTTTCTTTTTCTTTTTCTTTTCTTTTCTTTTTCTTTTCTTTTTCTTGTTGGTTGTTGCTGATGAGTTTGATTGTGTCTAGGATTCGTTGAGGGCAGACCATATGCCATGGAGGCTGCGAATGGGAGGAATTTCGTCACCACGCAATATGCCGTTCTTGCGCACGGCAAGTCGGAGCGGGAATTCCCATTCATCGCCTGTTCAGATTCGCCAATCACTGAGGTATATATCCCCGTCCCTTCCATCCCATCGCTAACTGTTTGCTCGCTCCCATATCCCCCATTCTAACACCACTGTCCCCACACCGCCAGCCCGAGTTCAACCGCTACCGCCAAACCATGATCGTTGAAGGGTGTAAAATGCCCACAAAATCCCAAACCGCCGCCAAAGTCACCGCCATAAACCGGCTAATAAACCACCCCTTCACGCGCGAAGAACTAGAAGAAAAACTCCGCCGCCAAGGCACAAACGACAACAAAACCAAAATCTTCCAGCGCATCCAGCTCGAACGGCGACGCCAAGAAGCCCTCACATCCGGCGACGAGGCGGCCATCGCCCAATGCGATGCCGAACTGGCACAATTCGTCGGCCCCAAGTTAGCGTTCGGTACGGTGCTGTGCAAGCCGCGCTCGAAGGAGAAGACGCAGCAGGAGCGCCTGCAGGAGCTGAATTTACGGAATCAGAAGCTTAATGCGGAGAGTGTAAGACGGGCGGAGATTGAGGAGAGGAGGAGGGTTAGGCTTGAGGCGGAGCGGGTGGCGAGGGGGGAGGCGATCAAGGATCGCTTTGCTAGGGTTAAGACGAGGGCGAGAATTCATTATGATGTGCATGGGGATCGGTTGGTGCCGAAGGGGGCTGGGGCTGGGGTGAGGAATGGGAGTGGGAATGGAAAGGGTGAAGAGGAGGGGGGGTTTGTGAGTGAGGGGAGTGGGATCAGTGGGGCTGTTACGCCGATTACGGGGGCGAATACGCCTATGGCTGCGTCTGCGGGGGTTAGTAATGGGAATGGCAATGTGACTAAGGCGGGGACACTGAATGGTAGCGGTGCCGGTGGAGCGACGCCAGGAAATGGTGGCAGTGGGAATAAGCAGCGCAAGGGAATTCCGGTTATTAGGCATCGGCCGACGGATGATGAGAATATTGCTGCGTTGGATTTGGGAATTGATATTGAGATTTAGGGGGGTGCGCTGGACCGGACTGAAGAGGAAGTGTGTGGGTGGGTAGAACTGACCGGGCGATTTTACACACTCGGTGTTCTATGTCCTCCTCTGGGTTTGATGGGTGTCTGATGGGGATGGTTGGTCATTCGATCTCTGATTCTGCACGGTTTGGTTTATTAAGCTTTGTTTTCGTTTGCTTTTATGATCGCTTTTCCCCCTGCGCCTTATTCTTCTCAGCTTGCTATATTTTCTTTTGTAACTGCTAGATTCTATAACTTTTCTTCCTGTTTTGTTTTTATGCGGGGGTGTTTTTTTTCATAGCGGGTTTTGGTAGGGGGTTTTCGGTATATTTTCTCTACGTTCTGGGTTGTCTGATGGATTTACCTCCTTTTCTTTTTGCACCCCCTTTTCTTTTTCTTTTTTTCTTTTTTTCTTTTTTCTTTTTCTTTTTTCTCTTTTTATCGTCGATGCATCCTGTCTGAGTTGCTTTCTTTTCTGCCGGCGATGTTTTAATCCCCTTCGTTGTCCCCTTATTTTTTTTGAAACCATCTGTTCTACGCTTCCCGGCCCCAAATCCCCAATTTTCCCTTTTCGTCATGGCATGGCTATATAGCAAGCATGTTTGTTGCTTTCAATTTACGAGGGTTGTTTTCTGTTCCTTTCTTTGTCGAGCTGTTGACGGAGGAATCAGGTAGTATGCACATATTACTAAACTGTCACTGTCACTTGAGTTGTTTATCTCCCCCCCTTCCCTTTTCTTTTTTTACTTCCTTTTTGAATTTCGTTGTCTACTGTCTGCTACTTCTCTTGTGATTATGGGGTTGTGGATTTGTGTCTGGACAAATGACTGTTCATGTTCTCGGGTTGTTGCAGACGTAGGAAGGGGGCAAGGGGGAAAGGCTCAAAAAGGGGGTAGGGCGGGGGGAGGGGAATGGGATGGATGGAGTCAAAATGGAGGAGAATGGTAGAAAAGGAAGAGGAAGAGAAAGGGAAAGAGGAAGAGGAAGAGGAAAGGGAAAAACAAAATCGATGAAGATGATGGATGGATGGATGGATGGATGCCGGCCGTTATTCTGAGTCGTCTTTTCTTGCTTTAAGAATTTATTTAAGTTGATTTTATTTATTTTTTTTTTAGGGCCTTCTTCTCTTCCGTCTTTTGTAATATTTTTGCGGCATGCAGAGAGATAGATAGAATTGTCAATGTGATTTGATTGTGAATGGCTTCGCTGTTCTCTGGAGGGTGAGATGGGCAGTTATGTTCCCCCTGTAATAGTTCCTTCGCCACGCCTGCGTCTTCGGGCGTGAGATGATGTCCCCAGCCCTATTACTTACTTCCCTTAGTTCTCTACCCCCCATAGGTAGCTAATTTTTCCCTCAGGTATCTGTCCCCGGGCTAAGAGTACAATCTCACGCGTCTCTGCTGTAACCTCAGTTTGGCACTAACTTAACTGTTGTGAATGCCAAAGCATCCTAGCCCAATCCTTTACCAGCGGAGACGGCGGAGATGGGGAAACGAATCGCCCGAATCCGGCCAATCAAAAGGCTTCGAAAAGCGTGTTCTGGTTACATTTTGTTTTGGATGGGTCGTGAGAACGCTGCAGGAATGAGAGAGTTGCGGGTTTGCAAGGAGGCTGGCTGGGTGAGCCTGGGTTAGGGACATCTTATTCTTGTATGACCGAGAGTGCCGCAATTGCTGCAGCGTTGTGGAGCTCGTTGGCGTGGGTGGTGCAGGCTCAGATGGCTGAGATTCACCGGTTTGAATAACTGCAACTACCTGTTCAACGGGTGCAGCAGGTGGAATAATAAGATCCTGAGCTTCATTCCTAGTTAGACCTCCTGCATGTTAGTAGTAGCGCAGAGTCCCATTGCAATGCCAGTCTTATCAAGGTTGTATATATCCTCTGGCAGAATCCCATGCTCAGCAATTGCACCCTCCAAGATCTTACACCAAGCCTGTATAACCGTTATATCCTCACATTTGGCCTGGTCATGATGATAGCGTCTGGAGTAGCGGGTCTGAAGTTCTGGACGGCGTGCCACTAGATTTGACACCCAGTTCTTGCCAACGCGGAGAGGGGTAGTAGTGGTGGAGATGGTGGAATTCCGTATAGTAAGAAGATAATTAGCTGTATCCTCAACAAATGCTGGCTGCGGGGGGGAATCCTCGTTTAGCTTGATCCAGCACCTATTCAACTAGCCGATTCTCTTCGGCCTGGGTTAATTTGGTTGAATTTGCACGTAGATTCATGCGAGGAGTCCGGCCATTTTGAGTCGATAATTTAGAGTAGAGAATGGTACATTCATTAAATACGCGTGCAGCTTCACGAATCGAGAATATTTCTTGCTTTTTTAAAGCATTTGTCGCGACTTCAAGCCTCTCCTCTCTCTCAAGAAAATTTGAAGCGTTTTTACTGCGAATTTGTGGCATAATTGCGCGTTGGGATGGATGAGTAGTTAATCAAGAAATATAATTTGAATTGGTTGATCCGCTCGCTTGGGAATTGTGTTAGTTGACGAAGGCTTGGCAGACTGCTGAGGTAAGCGGAGCGGATCGGCGCAACGCGCTAAATTGAATACGGACTAGCGCCTTATGCCGCGTTTTTGATTACAACGCGTCGTCACGGGTTTCGCGCCGGGGGGTGAAAAAGACAGCGGAAACTTGAAACAGCCAACTTCGCAGCAACCCATCCACAACACGGCTTTGGTTGAGGATACAGGTATCTTTACGTCCGATGATATACCTCATGTACGCCTAACTACATTTAGCACCTTACAATTGCCAGTTTCGTGCCCCGTTGCAGACTCCCGGACTTGGAGGGGATGCCGGGTGGTGTAGTAGTTATGGCTATGTTCCCCGCAAGGCGGCCCACTACGCCGGAGCACCGCGATGCATCCAGTCAGCATGACGATGGCGATGGCGATGGCGATGGCAGTGAGGGATCTCCAGTTATATTAACGCCCAGAGCGAAGATAAGGGCTCTCGTGGCCGCTTATGATGTGGACTCGGACGAGGATGCCAATACAAGCGCCAATACCGAGACAAGCAATAAGAAGCTGGGCGGTGAGGAGCCGGAGGTGATGAAGAATAAGAAGGTGCCTGTGTCGAGGCCGTCGTTTACGACGCTGGCGGCGGATAGGGCGTGGGTGGCTGGCAAGGGTGAGAGGGCTGGTAGTGCCGGGCATATGAATCACGAGGAGGATGAGGATGAGGATGAGGATGAGGATGAGGCTCCTGTGAGGCCGAAAGGGAAGATGGCGGCGAGGATGCAGGCTGCTGCTGCTGCTTCTGCTGCTGCTGCGGCAGACCAACGTTTATCATGGGGGGGGAGGGTAGATGAGGGGATGGGTAATGGGGATCGTGCGGCGGTTTCTGAGGATGTGAATCGGGATGAGAATATGGGTGCAGATGGAGATGCTACAATGTCTACATCTACACGGAAAACTTCTCCTGTACCAGAGTCTCGTTCACATTTCCCGCAGTTTGTGGCGCAGGGCTCACCCAAGCTGAATGCCAATGATGCTACGCAAGATACTACAGATACAACTGACGATGAACTTCCGACAACTAGAGGGAGGAGGCGGAAATCCCGCTCCATTGCATCGAACAGATCACTTTCGCCGCTGTTGGTCCCGCAGGATTCACCCGTTACTAAGAAGAATGACAAGTTGGTCGATGGCATGGAGACAGATGATGATGATGATGATGATGATGATGATGATGGTGATGACAATGCCCCAGCATCCTCCACAGCCCACAACCGCCTGCTGGCCCTCGTCGAGAAGAAGCGGAAGGAACGGGAAGCGCGTGAACAGCTCGAGGAGGAGAAGAAAGCAGCACGCCTACAGCGATCCAGCGACCTGCAGGAAAAGCTGTTTAGTTCTGATCAGGTCATCGGTGATGGCGACGATGACGCAGATGACGACGATTTGGAAGCGGCAAGGAAGCTAACACAGCATTCACGGCCCTCAGCGAGAAAGGCGAGTAAGAAGGCGCTCCTCGAGATGAATCGGGAGACGCAGAGGATTAGTCGGAATATGCAGCTGGCACATCAGGCCGTGACCAGGAAGAAGATTACAGTTGATAGCTTTTTGGAGAGGTTTAGGAAGAATAGTGCGGGTACGGGTGCAGCCGGGTTCGTTGCTGCGGCTCCGGCCTCGAGTTCTGTGCCTGCTTCTTCGGATAATGAGGGGCAACGAAGACAGTCTACGCCGCCTTCTTCGCCGGTGGAAGAAGAGCGCGCGTTAGGAGATGAACCTGCCGATCCGGCTGTTGAGGATACCTATTCACATAAAGAGGTCGACGTGACGAACCATGAGGACCTTGAACTACCGTCTGTGGAGGATATATTCGCTGGGACTGCAAGGGTTGTCGCCAATGCACCACCCCACCCGGCCCCCGAGCTTTCCTCCAAGCCACCCTCCGTGGCCCCAGCAACCGCACCAAAGTCATCCAAACCAGCACGACCCGTCGTCCGCGTCCGCCTCTCCCGTCAATCCATAGAAGAAAACCAAAAGAACGACTCCGACTCTGACCTGGAAATAATCACCTGTCCCGCCAAGACGAGACGCACAGCCGTCTTTGAAAACCTGCCCGCCCGCAATAACCAGTCCTCGTCATCGAGCACGTTGCTGAAACTGAAGACACTGGCGCAGCTTACGTCGCCGTCCAAGATGAAGCAGAGGTCCATGACGCAGGGGGAGTTGGAGGAGAATTTGATTCGGAGGGCGAGAATGCAGGCGCTGAGGGAGAGGGAGGAGAGGATTGAAGATCTGAAGAGAAAGGGGGTTTGGGTTGAAAGTGCTGAGGAGAGGGGGAGGGTTGAGGAGGAGGTTGAGGATTTGTTGGAGAAGGCAAGGGGGGAGGCGAGGGAAATTGCGAGGAGGGAGAAGAGGGAGGGGAAGAAGAAGGGGGAGGGGGATCAGGATGTGGTGGATTTGGATGATAGTGAGGATGAGGATTATGAGGGCGAGGAGGAGGAGGAAGAGGTGGAGGAAGAGGTGGAGCTTTCTGGGTCTGATGAGGAAAATGAGGAAGATGAGGAAGGGGAAAGGGAAGGGGAAGAGGAAGGGGAAGAGGAAGAATTGGAGGATGGGTATGTACGAACTGAGAAAGGGGATGAGGGGACTGGGCAATTTATCCATAAAGAAGCTGATGAAGCTATGGTCTCCGACGATGAGCGAAGTGAATCGGAGGAGCCCCTGGTGCAAGGAATGGACGAAAATGCACCGCGCAGGAATAGAAGACGGGTCATCATGGATGAAGAAGACGACGATGTGGATGACCTCAACGAAAACGAACCCAAAAACACCCTTCCTAAACCCCACGAAACCCCCATCCGCTCCCAGCACTCCCAACCTCTCTTCCCTCACCTCCCAACGACCGGCACCCCCTTAATGGGCCTAACCCAAGCCTTTGGCGCCACCTTCGCAAACAGTCAAGACGACCAGGACTCCGATGGCCAAGAGGACTCCCTCGCCCTCCTACGCCGCATGTCGAATTCCGAGCGTCCCGTCGACGAGCTGCTGGAACGCGACTTCCAGCAGGATATAATCCGCGACAGCCAGGGCAGTGGTGCCATCTCGGATTCGCTGCCCCTTGATATCTTCGCTAGCTATCCAGTTGCCAGTGGGGAACGTGTCTCTGAGTCCCCAGCAGCGAGGACGGTGGCGTCGTATTCGTATTCGCAGGCACCGGAGCCGACACAGGATGCTGGGTTTGTGTATTCGCCGTTCGATCAGGGGAGGAGGTTCAAGGATGTGCCGTTGTCCACGGTGGAGACGGTTGCGGTAGGGGGTGGAGGTGGGAATGATATGTCTCCTGTTGCGAGGAGGGGGAAGGGGAAGTTGAGGCGTGGGCCTGCTGCGGAGTTTTCGGATGTGGAGGAGGAGCGTGGTGAGGATGACGACGATGATGAAGATGATGGGGTTTTGGGTAAACGTAGCGCGTTTGATGTTATGCGCAAATCGTCGTTGGGGAAATCTGCAAAAGCAAAAGCGAAGACGCCCTTTGACAAGACGAAGAGTAAGGCGAGGGATGTTGTTGATGATGTTGCAGAGGAGTCTGAGGATGAATATGCGGGGCTTGGAGGGGCGAGTGATGAGAGTGAGGGTGAGGAGGATGAGATCGATCTTAGTATGATCAATGATGAGAGCGGAGAGGTGGTTGATGAGAAGCAGTTGGCGGCTTTGAATGCGTATGTCTATTTCCCTTTTTTTTTTACCCCTTACCACCCGTGCTTTACAGACATGTACCATTATTTCCAATGATAACTAACAATCCACTTCCCACAGAACCCACTCCCGCCAACAAGACGAGCAGCAAGTCAACAAGCTCATGCGCGACATCACCACCGGCGCCCTCCGTCGTCGTCGTGGTGCAGCAACCGACGACCTGGACCTGTCTGATTCCGACGACGAACGCATCGCCGCCCGCCGCCGGGCGAAGAGGAGGGAGTTTGCGAAGATGCGCAAGGCGCTGTTGGCTGATGAGAAGATCGGGATGATTGCGGAGGATCCGAAGAAATCTGCTTTTTTGCGCACAATTGAGGATCGGGATGTGGATAGTGACACTCCCATGGCGGAGTTTTTGGGCGAGGATGGCGATGGCGATGGCGATGGCGCTAGCTCGCAGGATACGCCGGAGCGAGATGTCGTCATGGCTGGTCAGCTGGAGGGGCTTGAGAACAGGCACTCTGCTGCTACCAATAATAATAATAATAATAATCGCAAACGCCCACTTGACCAGTCAGCCCACGATGAGGTAAATCGGCGTCCACCGCCTCATCTGCGTCGGAAGGCAGGAGGGGGTGTGACGACGAGCAAGAAGCCGTCGACGCTCGCTGAGATTCGCCAGAGTGTCTCGTTCCTGCTTGAGGGGGATGAGCCAAATGAGTCGGAGCCGTTTACCGGGGATATCTTGCTTTCGGATGAGGAGCAGCCGGAAGAAGCGCGTCGGGCGAGGGAGGGAACTGCTGATGAGGAACAGGATGACGAGCCGGAGACGCATCTTTTCTCTAACGGTCGCGGGGATGGGAATGGTGGCTCTGACAGAGCGAGCTCCAGCAGTGGTGGTAGGGGCAGTGGAAGCACCCACTCCAACCCCCGCCGCCGCCGACCGCGGGGCAAAGTCGTCGACCGCCTCTCTCTCCGGCGCCAGGCATCCTCCAACGCCGCCTCCACCTCCACCAGCACCTCCACCAGCACCTCCACCAGCACCAGCACCAGCACCAGCACCACCCCATCGCAACGACCTCCGGTCCCCGCCAAGCCTTCTTCTCCACAAGCAGCGTACCAACCTTCACACGCCCGCCGCCGCTCATCCGCCGCGCCACGAGCAACCTATCCGCTTCGTCCGTGACGACGGCCGAGTCTGGGGTTTCTGTAGTGACGACAGGATATTCGGTGTCGGTGACGGAGGGTGGGGGTGGGGGCGGGGGTGGGAAGAAGGGGAGTGTGAATTATTATGCGGCTGCGAGGGAGAGGCAGAGGCAGTGGGAGGTCAGGAGGGGGGAGAGGGCAAGGGCGGGTGGGAAGGGAGGTGGGAAGGTCGTTGAGGGGGTCTTGGGGGGGTTGCTTGGGGCCGGAGAGTGGGAGTGAGTAGGTCGTTGAGGGGGTCTTGGGGGGGTTGCTTGGGGGCGGGAGTGGGAGTGAGGTGACGAGTTGGGTTGTTGGATCTGTTAGGCATTTGGGATGGGGTTTTTTTTTTTGTTGGGGGGTGTTATGGAGTTTTTTTTGATTTATATGTACATGCACACATTGTCTTCTTTTCTGTTCTTTTGTTTTTCTTTTCATTGAATTTTTCATATGAATAGATGAATAAATTCGAGCAGCTGGGATCTCAAGTACGGCTTTATTTCAGACCATGTTATGGTATTGTGCTCTGTGTGTAACATTGCAATTACCTGTGGATTGATAGAATCCGTTTCATTCAAGTCTGTTTCACGAAAAGCCAATTAACAAAAGCCAAAAACTGGGAAACGGACATAAACACGCCTTACAACAGATACCTTCTCATCCATCCTTCCACTCCAAAACATCCCACTCAACACCAACAATCCACTTCTCAACCATCCCAGCCGCCCCACGCAACCCACCACCACCACCCCCTACCCCTACCCTTCCCTCTTCCCGCCTCATCCGTCTCCTCCCTCTACCCCCCGAAAACTCCTCAATCTCCATCTCCCACACCAAACCCCTTCGAATCCCTATCCTATCTCCCTTCGCAATAGTGGGCAGAGGAGCTAGCGACGGCGGCGGATAACCCTGTGCATCAGATGCAGGGTGTCTATGTCCCCGGGAACGGGATGGAGCAGACATGGGAGCGCCGAAGAGGAGGATTTTGCGGGGCGGTGGCTGCGTGTGTTGGTGCTGTTGCGTGGGAGATGGGGTTGTGTTGGGAATTGTGCGGGCGGGTGTTGTGATGGGATAGGGGTTGGGGTGGTTTATGGGATTTGCAGTTATGAACGTGACAGGGGCCGGGTGGCCCGGTGTATAATATATGGGCTGTCCATTGCTGTGGGCAGACGAGGGGTGTTGGAGGTCTAAGACTTGGCATGTGAGGTAGTAATTAGTTGCTCGGGTTGGGGTTGGGATTGGTTGGTGCGTGGTTCTGGGTGTCTGGGTATTGATATTGTTGTTGTTGTTTCTGGTAACCTGCGCGTTTGTAAATTGGGACGCGTGTTTCATAGCCTCCGCTTCGAGGAGCCAGGAGCGGACGGAGGCGGTCATGCCTCCTGGCTTACAGTCTTGCGTTATGCTGGAGGTTGAGCGGCGGGGTCGGCCGGGAATAGCGAAGGGATGGTACGTGATTTCACTAGTTTGGGGGTGTTCGGGTGGTCGGGGGAGGGGTGGTGGGAGGATAAAATGGGGTTGGCGGCGTTGGGTTGGGGGTTGTGCTGTCTGTGAGGAGGGTGTGAAAGTGCTTGGTCTGAGAGGTTGAAAGTTGGCGGTGGAAGGGGGGTTTGAGGGGTGATTGAGGAGGAAACGAGGATGCTTGGTGGAAGATGAGGAGACTAGTTTGAGAGCTGTGCTGATGCTTGGTGGGAGGAAAGGGGTACTTGGTCCTGGGGAGTGTGTCTCGCGGGGTGGAGGAGTTGGAGATGCGAATAAGGAGGTGGGTGATTTAGGCGGTGGTGATGGGGATGTGGATGCAGATGGACACGATGATATTGAATCTGCGTTGACATCACCGCTATTGGGAGGAGGTAGAGACACCCTCCGACGTTTCGCCTTGCGCATTTCTGGCGTCGGGGGGAAAATGGCATCGAATTCCGCATCGATGTCAAACCCTCCGCCGACGTCACCCTGGTTTACTGGATACCCTTCCAAAGGGGGAGATGGGGTATCATCCTGGAATAAAAGATCCTCTTCATCGCTGTTGGAGTCGTGAATAATGTCCCCCCCTGGGTAAGCCTGGGGCAAGTTCCCAGTCTGCCCCCCATCGGACTCAGTGAGTGCTGAGGACGAGGGATTAACATCACTCAAATTGGCCTCTGCGTCCGAGACACGGCAGCTTCTTCCCCTGTCCGTGAAACGGAAACGAGGAGTTGCTGCAAACTGAGAGGCAGAACTTGAAGGGAAATTTGAGCTGAAGATGAAGCGCGGAGTTCGCGATGCTGATCCGTTCCCCCTAGAGGGAGGAGCTTGCCTCGCTGGAGTCTGTATATAATAATGTCAACGGCAATGCTTCAACCTGGGGGGGGGGGGGGAAGGGGGTTAGTTTTGTAGTCAGCGGGACGTACTGTAGCTGGAGCCATCCTCTACCGGTTTTTCGGCAGCAGCATCGATGCTCTGTATTTTCCCGTTCAAGGCTTTTCGCGGACAGATGATATTTCATTTTCAGCGGTAAACTCGGGACAGCAAGCAGCCGTTGTGTCACGTATCTACGGGGCACTTGGAAGAGGAGCGATGTTATCCCTCTTCCTCAAACCCTCGCCTGAACTAACCTGAATCCGAATCCTAACGCGCGCCCCAACCCGAAACTGTGGTGGTGTGTGTTGGTGGTGATCCCGTAACTTGGTCAGCGTAGTTAACAGTTTTAAGCAGTTAACAACTAATCGTGCCCCGCGCACCCACACCTCTTGTGGGTGCGCCACAGCGTAACGATAAAAATATCAACTTCTTCATTAATCAATCTTCAAATATTAATATATCACCACCACCATGACCAATAAGATAGATGATCTTGAAAAATGTATTCAGAGTGTCATTGAAGTCTATAATGGCAATTGAAAACAGAAAATCCTACCTCTGGCGCGCAAATTCAACATTCCTTATCAACGTCTTCGAGCAAGAATCAATGGAAGAAAAACACGCAATGCAAAGACTGCACCGAACAAGAAGCTTAGCAAGAGCCAGGAGGACGTGTTAAAAGAGTGGATAGCTCATATGGACAGAAATAATTGCCTGCTGACTGCAGAGCAGATTCAAGATAATGTGAATCTCATCCTCAAACACCATCATACTGATCCTTCAACCTCCCCACCCGTGGTCAGCAAGATGTGGACCTATCGATATATACAAAGCTTGGATGGGTATAAAAGGGTTAAGCAGAAGGCAATGGATCCGAAAAGAATTGCTGTTGAGGATATTAGCTACATCAAGGTGTGGTTTGACTGTTTGGAAATCTTACTTCAAAAGTACGCATTTCAAACCTGCGATATCTACAACTTCAATGAGATTGGCTTTCAAGAGGGTCAAGGACGTTGGAGAATGGGTTATTACTGCTTTTAAAGACTTTAATTCAGTTATAACTTCATCATATTCTCGAGGATTGATCACTGTGATTGAGTGTGTTTCAGCAGATAGTGAGGTATTGGATCCCTTCATCATCATGAAATCCAAAACCCAACTTGAAGATTGGTATACACAAAGCAACCTACCAGGCGGATATACAATTGTGACATCAGATACTGGCTATACCAATGATGAGATTGGCTTTGCATGGATTCAGCACTTTAATGAGGCCTCTAAAAAATGTCAGCAAGACAGTCATCAATTGCTGCTTCTTGACAATCATGAATCTCATCTCACTGAAGAATTCCTACAATACTGTGATCTCCACAAAATTATTCTATATGGATTTCCTTCACATTCAACTCATATACTGCAACCTCGAGATGGCGTGCCTTTTCAGCAGTATAAGCACTACCATTCAAAGACAGTTAATCAAGCTGCGTGATATGAATATGAGCAGTATGAAAAATGTCAATTCCTACAGAATCTAGTTGATGTCTGCAAAAAGACTTTTCAACCTTCTACTATTCAGACTGGCTTTGTGGATCATGGCATTGTCCCATTCAACTCACAATCTATACTGCTTAAGCTAGATTCAAAGGTCCCTGACTACCCTGAGTTGCAAATATATGGAGAAGACTCCTTTTCACCACAATCAAGCTGTTCAGATACTGCTTCATCACAGCTATTCTCACCCAAGACAATCAAGAAGCTACAACATCATATTTGAGTGGCAAAGAAGGCAATGCAAGATATGGAGGATACACTTGATTCCAAATCACCTCACCTGAGCAATCGATTGAACAAGATTTTCAAAGGCAGTCTTGTTCAGGCGGAACTCAATGCTATAAGAGAGAGTGAGATTGAGGGTTACTACCTTGCAATCAAACACCGCAGCACTAAAAATACACGTCGGCAGGTTCAAATAGGAGGTATACTCACTGTCAGGGATGCAAATAGAAAGATCATGCAACGTAAAGAGGAGGAAGCAGAAAAAGAATGTTATAAGGGAGTCAAACATGTTGGGAGAGCTTTGAAGAAAATGCCATGGATCCAACTCAACAAGAGGTTAATGATATATATGAACGTCTCCCGAATAATACAGCTACTACAGATGATATAGATAAATTAATTATCATAGATTAGCAGCGTGGTGATGAGATATTAATTTTTGAAGTTCTAATTATCCATATTTTTTATCGTTACGCTGTTTTTATCGTTACGCTGTGGCGCACCCACATCAGGTACGATTAATTAGTAGTTATCACCGTCAGCCACTTTTACCAGCAGATTACCTGATCAGATATGTATTTCTCAACAACCATGAGAAATCACGCTTCAAATCAAAAGAGAGGAGACTTTCGTCTAGCTATCAGAGCATAAAATAAGACAAACCAAAAGCGTTCGAGCTGCTGCAAAGATCGATGGTTCCTCGACTGCAGGGACAGTTTTCACGTACCAATTCTCAACCCACCGATCGCGATCAAAGAAGAATGCCTGGTTCAACGAATGGTATTCATGGATGAGAGAGGTCTATCATTCCTAATCGCGAAGCGTATGAGACATGACCATGACCATTCAATTATCAAAGTACGAATCTGCATCATCATCGTCATCATCATCATCATCGACAACTGAAGAACGCTGGGCTCGAACCATGATGTAGTTAAGCTTCAACATCAGACTCTCGCACCCATATGTGATTATCAGTGAGCTTTATTTGCAGATTGCGCGTAATCAAAAAACAACTCTTCCATCAACCCCTCCAATGACCCTCTGTCCCTGTCCCCGTCCCTCTGCCCACCCCCGCACCCTCCTCCTAACCCTCGACGCCTTCAACACGCTCTTCCAACCCCGCCTCCCCGTCCCCGTCCAATACGCCCAAGTCGCCCAGTCCCTCAGCTTCCCCCCACCACAGCAGCTCACCAGCAACAATAAGAACCTATCCACAGAGGCCCTCGCAGAGAAGATCTCAGTGGCCTTCCGTGCGGCGTTTAAACGGGAGAGTGCGGCGAGGCCGAACTATGGACGGAATGTGGTGGGGTTTGGGGGCCCGAGGGAGTGGTGGGGTAATGTGGTGAGGGGCTGCTTTAGGGGGGTTGTGAGGGGCCATGCGGATGGGGAGGGGGATGAGGTTGAGGTTCCGGAGGAGTTGGTCAGGAGGTTACTTGTACGGTTTGAGGGCCGGGAGGGGTATGTGTTGTATCCAGATGTGGAGGGGTTTTTTGAGAGGCTGACGAGGTGGAAGGCGTCGTTGTTGGTGGCCGATGGCGGTAGAAGAGACGGCATTGTCAATGCGCATTCTCCGTTCGAGAGGGTTGTTGTGGGTGTGATTTCGAATTCGGATGATAGGATTGCTAGTATCTTGCATAGCTTGGGGGTGCGGGTTGGGGAGACGCGGGAGGAGCATATTACCACTGCTGCTGCTACTGAGACCGGGCTGAGGAGGAAAATACCAGCTGATATCGACTTTATCGTCACCAGCTATGAAGCTGACGCGGAGAAGCCGCACCGCAAGATCTTCGATATGGCCAAAGAAAGGGCTAAAGAATGTCTTGACGGTGGCGGTGATAGCGGCTTGTCTCCTTCGGGGGATCCGGAGTGGATCTGCGTACATGTCGGAGATCATTACGAGAAGGACTACGAGGGAGCAATTAATGCTGGCTGGGATAGTTTCTTACTCCCCAGAGACGGGGAGGGACCCTCCGTGTCCGATTATCGCCTTGACTCTTCTTCTACTGTAAAGCATATACGGGCACTAACTGACCTATTTCCCCGGCTGGGGATGGATAAGAGATTACTTCCGGTCGAACGAATGATGTGACATGATATCAAACCACGGATCTATTTGTGACGGTATTTTGGGTATATATATCCTTTGCTATACATGCATGCAGAGCAAAACAAGAATATCAACCATCCCCACCAGCCCTCGATACAGCCTTCAACGTATCCAACGCAACCTTACACCCCCACTTGACGACCCTCCTCTCCCTCTTCGACACCACAATATCCGTCTTCGCAACCACTTTCCGAATAAAATAAATCAGCCTAGGCACAATCTGCGGCGTCTCCCTCGTCCGCAAAAACACATCTGCCAGCGCCTTCTCATCGAACCCCTCGTCACCCTCACCACCATCCCGTCCTCTCCTCGACCCAGACCCATTCCGCTCCCTCTGCAGCTCCCGCGTCCTTCTTTGCTGCGTCTGCGTCATAACCGTAACAATCAGCACCTCCACAAACACCCTCGTCTTACTCTGCATATACACAAAATCCAAAACCTTCAGCGCCCCCAACCCCATCTCCCCACCCGCAATCAAACTCCCATACATCTTCGCCAGATTCACAATAGCCTTGCTCGTCACCTCATCATCCCCCTCACCACCACCACCGTCATCATCCCCATACTCCCCCCCCTCCCCCATCCGTTTGAAAACATCCCACAGCGAAAACATAAACGCCATCTTCATCCGCCGCTCCCCGCACAGCCTGCGCGCTATAATCGTGTAATACGGATTATGCGCCTCTTCTTCCATAGCGCAGTGCAGGAGGACGCGCGGTATCTCGCCCTCCTGATTCCGCTTCAGGCGCAGTTTGGCCAGCCGCATGTGCGCGTCCCGGTAGTCAGCGGCGGACATTATGGCAACGAATATCGAGCGGCGGACGTCCGTGTTCATCCCGTGCGCTCTGGCGAGCTGCAAGAGATCGACCTCTTTACCGCCTATGCCGTCGTTGTCGTTTAGGGTATCTGCCAGCGCTGTCACGGCATGTGCATGTGCATGTGCATCAGCAGCACCAGCAACGGTGGTATCTCGCTGGCCGTTGTGCTGGTTCGCCGCATCATCCCTCCAACTGGCGCCGACAAGCCACCACTTGCCCCTCTTATCGGCCCGATGGATGTCTGCGCGGCCGATGCGGATGGGTTCGCTGGCACGGAGGGTGCGGGGGGAGTCGTTGAGGGAGCCGAGGATTTTGCGCATGGTTGTTATGTGTGTTGAGGAGAGGGATGAGGCGGAGGCGGCGTTGGACTTTAGGCGGTTGTTTTTTAGGTCTGTTATTGTTTCGAGCATGAATTTTGTGCGGACGGAGAGGGTGCTTGGGTCTAGGGTTGAAAAGGTGGGTTGGAGGAGGAGGATTATGTCTTTGAGGGTTGAGGGGGAGTCGGCGCGGAGCTGGGGGCCGGAGTCTGCGGGTTTGGTTAGTAGTGGTTAATTGGTTTGGGGGAGTATGTGAATGGGGAGCGTAGGGGGGTAATTGGCAGCTGGCTCACTCTTGATGATTCGCAAGAGAAGTTCGGTGTTTAGTTCTGTGATGTCTGTTAGGAATAGACGGATATAGTCGAAGATCAGACTACATCCGATAACATGGAAGTTATACAGATGCGACAATAGCGAGATGGCATTCAGCATCTCCTTGTTATTACTCCCTCCACCATCACTCTCCTTCTCCTCCCTCCCCTTCATCCTCGCCACCTCATAATCCCCATCGAACCTCCTCACAACCGCCTCAACAAGCTCTGCCCCAAAATCCATCCCCATCACTTTATACACGGCTGCAATAAACCCCGCATGCAGTATTATAAACGTATCCTGTAACACGCTCCTGTCATACACCAGGCCCATCAGTAGCTCTATAAGCGTCGATGTGACGTTGCGGCGCGGGTAATCTTGGTACAGCTTTTCTATCTCGCGCAGGATGGAGAGGAGGTTTGCTTCGGAAAGTTTGTTGAGGTGGCCTTGTGCTTGGCGGCGGAGGAGGGTTAGGGATTCTGATTCGTTTGGTGGTTGGTTGCGGAGGGAAGGGGGGATGTATTTGGGCGGCGCTGTGGGGGTAGAAACCGGGGGGAGGTAGGGGTTTTCTCGCTTCTTTGGTTTTTGGGCGGTGTCCTCATCGTCCTGGCCGCTGTCATTGGAGATGTTGTTGCCGTCGCCGCCGCCGCCGCCGTCGTCGTCGTCAAAGCCGTCAAATTCGTCTTCCTCACCGGATTCGTCGCTTTCCTCACTGCCCTCCCTCTCACTCCCGGACTCCACCCCCATGCTCTTATTCTTCCGCGCAGCAGCCTGGGCCTTCATCCTCTTCCTCTGCAGCCACTCATCCTCCTCCCTCTTTCTCTTTCGCGACTCATCCTCCCCATCCGATCCAGCCCCGGCCAGATCACCGAGTATGTCCGCTAATCCCTCATCGTAAAACGATTGTGGCAGTTTCCCTTTCTTCCCCTTGATACCTAGCTTTTTCTCCAGCGCGGAGATCTCCGCATCGTCCTCGGCTAATTTGTCCTTGACAGCCTGAGATAATTTAGGTTGGGTTGTAAATTGCTCGTCTCCGCTGGACATTTCTTCTTCATCAGGGTCATCACCATCTTCTCCTTCTTCTTCTTCTTCTTCGTTAAGCAAATCCGTAAAGCCCCCCTCATTCTCCTCCTCCGATTCCCCCTTCTCAAATACATTAACAATTTGCTCCCTCTTCTTCAAAATCGGCTTTGACTTCGGCGCAGATCCCACCTTTAATTTCGCGGTTGGCCTCTGCTTCTGCTCACCGGCAGACACGGTATTTCGCACATCCCCACCGTCAACTACTCCCCCACGCCCCCCATTTCCCCTCTGTGCCCTCTGTGCCCTCTGTGCCCTCTTCACATTCACCCGCTCAGCCTTCCGCCGCTCTTTTCGCGAAACGTACCCATTGCGAAGGCGGTCACCTGTTCCCTTTCCCCTGGGCAAGTCGGCCAGGTCCGAGAGGCCCAGCTCATCGCGGAGCTGTTTGGGGAGCTGTGTTGTGTTGTATAGTGGGCGGGGCATAGTCAAGGGCGAATGAGGTATTTGTCCGTCGCCTGGTCCCTGTGATGTCGGTAGTTGTTGATGTTGATCAAGTCAAAGAAGTTACATATCTTTTTTCTGCCGGGCGCCTTGGAAGGCGGTGAGAGAGAGTATTCATCCTTCTTGATTTGCGGCGAGAGTAACCATTCATTGCAGCAGCCTCGGCGGGCGATGGAGACATGGCGGAACCAGCTACGTAACTTATATCTCTTTCCATGCCCCGGATAGAACTAGTCCGCATGCAATTTGATTCATTACTGCAAGAAAACGCAGCACGGCGGGCGTCGATAAAATATTTCACCCCATCCACCTCCACCCGCAACCTTCACCACCCAATTCCACATACCATACACCCCCGACACGCCCATATCGCCTCATCCCTCCGGCCGACATGTCCAACAGCCCGCACGTCTCCAATGACGAGGTTAGTATATACAACAGCACTCCCATAACCATCAACCATCCAGCTAACAATGGCCCCCCCCCTTTCCCCGTTCCAGTTCTTCGAAACTCTCCAATCCCTCCTGTCCAAACAATCCGCCCAAGCCAGGGGGTCTATCTTCCTTACGCAAAAGCGGATGCCTAGCGCCAGCACCAACAGCACCAACAGCACCAACAGCACCTCCCCGTCTCCGTCAGCAGCAGATCCATCAGCTCCAGCGACGTTGTCGCTGTCACCAATCCTCATCCGCGCCACAAACGGCAAACACAAGAGTTCCAAGACAAAGGTATCGACTGTCGTGCAGCCGGGGGATATCGAGGGGTTCTTTGGCAGGTATGCGGAGGTTTGCAGGGCGGGGATGGTGGGGATGAAGAAGAGGGATAGGAGCGCGAGGAAGAAAGGGAAGGGGAAGGGGAAGGAGAAGGGGAAGGAGAAGGAGAAGGGGAAGGAGAAGGAGAAGGGGAAGGGGAATGTTTAGGGGAAGGTTGAGGGGGGTGATGGGTGGGGGATGGAGAGGACTTGCATTCGTTTGGCGTTTGGGAGGTTTGTTTCTTGATGGTGTTTGCTGTGTTGGTCTCGTGGAGGCATAGAGGCATAGAGGTCCCTGGTGGCTTGGGGTTGGTTATGTGTCCGAACTACATGAAACAGAAGGGGGAATCTGTCGAGTTGAATTTGAACTATTTTTGAAAGATTTCTCTCGTGGCATAGATATGTGTGACATCGATATGTGGAGAGGAATCTTGTATATTGCGTACAAAACATGCTCAAGGATTTAACTTGCATAATATAAGCCATCATCACCACACACCTCAACTACGCAGCGATAAAACAAAAGAGAGATGAGGACACATGGTAGCTAAGCTGCCACAGACAGAGCATCGCTATCACTAAAGACTCCAGTGCCGTCGAGGCCAAACCAGACAACAAAAATAGCAAGGGAAAGAACCGATAATGAATGCGTATACAGAGCAAAGGCAATGCGGCGCTCTTGCTTGAGAAGAAAGACAGAAAGAAAAGGGGAGGGGGGGGTAAAAAAGACCCTAATGACAAACCACACCAGCAGGGCAAATCGCTCTAGCACACGATATAGGTATTCCACGCCTACAAAAACAGATTCAGATTGACATTGCCTCCAACCCAGGTAAAGCAGGGAAAAGGTTTCCACGCATGCTTACTCGAACATATACCCGTTTCGCCCGCCGGATAATTACAGCAAGAAAACGGAAACAAAGGGAAAACTCAGGAAAGGAGAGATCAGTGAAATACATGTAGTGAAATATTTAAATCGATAGAATGAAATCGCATCGGAGGCATGGAGGAGTCAGGGGGCAGTGTAGATATAGATATATAGAAGGAAACGATGTTGGTATATACATAAAAAGAAAGAAAGAAAGAAAAGGAAAGAAAAAAATATGAGGAAAACGAAAGGAAGGGCAATGGAATGAAGGGAGGTTAGCAGGTAGGGATGCCAACCGTCTCAAAACATCTCAATCCAGCTCCTCACTCCACCTGTCACACCAGCCCCCACCCTCCCCTTCCTTCTCCTTCTCCTCCCTCCATCTCCTCGACGCAGAAGCTGGTACCGATATCGGGATCCCGAAATCATCCTCGCTCCACACATCCCCTCTATCGTCATCCTCGTCTTCATCCTCGTCGTCCTCGACAACAGACTTGCAACCCTTCCTCAGCTCGAGCCGCAACCCATCCCTCTTCGCCAATCTCGCAGCGATATGCAGCAGCACAGCGAGAACTTGGATGGGCGTGCTTATGACGAGCGAGCAGGTTTTGCGGAGGATGGTTGTTGTTAGTTTGTTGATGGGCGAGGGCTGGTAGAGAGAGAGCGTTGAGCGGGGGGGGAGGGGGGAGAGGTCGCGCATCCGGGAGTCGTGGGTGCGGTGGCGGGGGTTTGACGGTAGTGGGGATGGGGATGGGGGTGTATGTATTTCTTTGGGTGAGGCAGGGGGGAGAGGGGATGGGGTTGGATGTGTGGGTGGTGCAGGCGGGGTTTTGGGGCGAGATTCTGTCTCTGGATCGGGTTGCCTGGGCGCTGGGAATTCGAAGATGGTGGTTTCCCGGGACGATCCGCCGTTATGAGAGCGTTGGGGCGGGGTGTGTAGCTTCTCTGCGGTGATGAAGGGGTGAGAGTCTGGAGGGGAGGGAGTATTGGAGTATGGAGGCGAGGGGGGGAGGAGCGGGGAGCGAGAAGATTGGAAGGAGTGGAATGAATCGACGCTTGACGATAGATGGTCGTTTTCCATTTGCATTTCCATGTCGCTTTCGCATTCGCTCTCGGGCAGAGCTTGGAAGGTAGCCATGAGCGAGTCGAAGGCGTACGTGGGCTCCGTGACGTTCCGGACCGCCTGGGAACGCATGGGTAGAGGGGGTGACCGCCCATCATGATGGGGTAGAGATACACAGCGACGTGCTTTGGGGGTTCTTTCGCTGCAATCAGTCATATCACCCTCCTCAGTGTTCCCCGTGCGGGTGCTCTCCGCATCACTCCGCCCGCACCCCAGGCTCTCCGAATTCGCCTCTCCAAAGCTAAGTTTCCGCGCTTCAAAGCCGTGCTCCAGTTTCGGCCGCCACGCCTTCTTCTTCCGCGGCGTCTTCGACTCCTCAGGCAGCTCGACCGAAAACCCACGCTTGAACGGACACGGAGTAACCTCATACCTAATAATTGTCGAGAGCACCTTCTTCAGCGCCTCCACCTGCTCCTTATCCCGCTCCGTCTCATAGGGAAGTTCGATGCGGTAATATGTGAGCCGTCTTATGCGGATGACGAAGATGGAATTCCCATCCACGCACCAGCATTGGCAGTTCTTCATGAGCGTCTGCACCACGCTGCCGGATTTGAGGAATATGGTTGAGCCCGGGACGTGTTCTATTTTCATATGGCCGAGGGCTACTATTCGCTCTGTAGAGAGGCGCCATGGGAGGGTCTCTATGGCGTCGACTACGTAGTCAAGCTCCGAGGAGATGTCGGTGGGAGGGGGGATGTGGGCGGACTGGGGGAGTTCGAATTTGACGATTTTGGCACAGCGGTGGTGGAAGTGGACTTCAGTTGACGCGGGGGGGATGGGGTTTGGTGCGTCTGAGGGTCCCAGGCTGGGTCGCAGTTTGTGCGGGAGGGCGTTGGCGTGCTGGAGAGGCCGTGTTGGATCCATGGGGGTTGGTTATCTAGTTTATTTGTTTGTTTAGGCTATCGCGGGGGGGGGGGGGGGGGG